TTGGGTTTGGCCATCGCCACATGGTGAAAATCAGGCAGCCTGCCAGTCAAATTTTGTGAGTTTTTTTCATCCATTTTTTGCTAACGGCGGGTTTACCGAACTTTTGCACAATGATTTATTTTCCAATTTTACAAACTTTAGCCGCAATTAAGTACAAAATGGGTAATCGGTTTTAAACTATTTCATTTTGCTTTTCCTTTTCACATCTAATTTGTTTTTTGTTGGCCAATACTCGAAACTGAAAGAAGTTAGTAGCTGCAGGCCCACGACTAATTGGTTTGCCCTTTTACAAACTATACTATACATATAGTATGTATGACTATGTGTGTGGATGTGGGTTTATGGGGTATAGTATATAGCTTCTATTGTTGTTACACTTAAGGCTAAGCGTTTGGTTTCAAGGTTAAGCTTTTGACTGCTGCCTGTTTATATTCGTAATACGAGTATGCCGCGCTTGTCTGCTGGTTGTCATCCCTCTGTATTGTCGTCCGTCAACAACAATGTGAGGCCTTTCAAAAATCTCCAACAACTGCAGCAATTCACTTTACACTTTTCCCTCTGCAACGGACGGACGGACAGACGGACGGACAAACAAGTTCAATCAACCGTTAAGGCGTGAACCAACTGTAGTTGTAAAAAAATGAAAGCAAATGCAAAGCATTTTCCATTTGGAAACGGTGCGACTTTTAGCATATGAAAAACAGAAATAAAAAAATGATGAAAAATGCAATTTATGATAATTACGCACGTCAAGTCAGAGGAGAAACATTTTGAAAAGCAGTTAGACAATAGACTTTTCCTTTTCAAATAGTATTGCCACAATCTATTGTTTTTCCTCTCTTTGCCCAACACCGCCTATTAAAGACACTTAGTGTATGAAAAAAGTGCAAATAGATACATTAAACAACACAAACAAAACAAAACAAAAACTACAAAAAAAAAAAAAAATTAAATGCGAAACATTTTCTAAACACGTTTCAGCATGATTGTTGTTGTACAAATTAAGTGCAATTTGGTCCCAATGTTGCACAAAATTGGTAGCAACAATCGGCGGCAACAACAGCCAACTACATCAACATCAAGAGCAACAGCAACAACAGCAGCAACAACGGCAGCATCAACGACTCATCGGCTGCACTTTGCTCTGGCATGGCGCATTGGCATTTTGCAGAAACGGCACCAATAGCAAATGTACCGCTTTGGTTTTTAGTATTCCATCTGGCTGGCCCCTAGCGGTGATTGTGTGCCGATTCGTTTTTTAAGCCATGCCATCCCCGCCAGCTCCCCATGCTGCACTCTTTTCATTAGACGGAGAACCGGCGCGTCAGGCCGCTGAATACGGCAATGGCAATGCGATCACAAACATCCAGTCATACAAGATCGGCCGACTTAGACGGTGAAGTTAATTGCCCAAGACTACAGCTGACTTTATCAGCGTTCCTCTTCCACCGGCACAGTCGCAGATGCAGACTCAGACGCAGTTGCAGGCCATGTCGTGCGTGGCATGTCGTCACCATCACTTCTGCCTCATTCTTATGCACAAAACAACTGTACAACCATAACAATAACAGGTGTTTTACTTTTTGTTGTAGTTCAAATGCATTTCGCTTAGCATTTATAATTGTTAATTGGCTTTGATAAGGCAACCCAAATGGCATCATTAATCAACATCTCTCGTCTTTCAAAAGCCTGCCCAACTTTCAGTTTTGTTTTTAAACAGACTGTGCGTGAAAATTGTCTGTAGCTTTGAAATTTATTTTGATGAGGTGCAGCCCTAGTGGCGAACACTAATCTGATGCTCACACATTTTACAATCAAAAACTTTCAGTACTGTTTCTAAAAATTCTAGGGATGCCTGCAGTTTTGTTTATAGCTTTAACAATATTTTGATGAGGTAAAACATTTCGTATATAAATTTTGTGTTGAAAGAAAGTTCTTCACACTTTTGATTTTAATTTCTAATATCTTTGTGAATGACTTCAAAGAAAAACTGAGATATTTGTTTGTTCGGTTTGCTTTAAAACGCTAGTGCAAAGGCAAGACGAAATTATTTACAATTTTTGTTTTCAAAAATCAAACAATTCCACTTTAATCTGAAACCTAGACAGAATAAGGCTGGGACTTAAAAAATGCTTTTAAACTACTAGGCCGTAGGGAAATCATGAATTTGCACTTTAACTTTTTTTACAATACCTCTTAACCTCTTAAATTGTCAACCTCTTGCACGGAATTACTTTCAATATAACTCTTCCGATATACTTCAATAAAATGTATAAGGTCTCTCATCAAATTTGTCTGTAAGTCGTGGCATAGCTGGACGGATGCGTTAATGTAAATTGTAAAATTATTTTTAAAGATTTTTTATATTTTAACTAGAATTTACAACGTACTTTATTTTATATATTTACTCAATTCTGTATCGACAGCCCATTGTTTATTAAATAATAAAATAATAAATATTATAAAAATCACACAATGTGCTGTTGCTTTCGCCACTGCATGGATTGCTTGCAATGGTGACCTTAACGACAACAATGGAGCCTTCATTTAAAGTTCATCCCATGGCCATACTCACTCTCACCATATTTAGGAAACTGAATTGCATTATGCTTTAGTTAAAATTCCTCCCATTTTCATAACAGCCTTTGTTGGATGTAAACAAGCCGTTCAGGTTCGTTACATCTTTTCATTTTGCAATTGCAGACTGTTTTACAATTCATATCTATGTAGGTTAATTATGCATAATATTGTGGTAGAAATAGTTTAGAGTGCATTTTTGTATGAACGGAGATGCTTTTATTATCTTGCCCAGAAACTGACAGGTGTGATGCATCCGTTTGACCAACATTCTAGATCGGTCTGTAAAAATATCAAAATTCCGCGGTAATGTGTTGTCCATCATAAATCACAGCGGATAATGTTTTTGTGCTCATATCGCCACCATCAATCATATGCCAACAAGCTGTGCAACTCCCTTCTCTCTTACTATTGAGTATTAAGGTAATTATATTTCTACCAATGATTGTAACGGCCTAAGAGAGCACTGCTCTCTTAACAAAGTTCAGCATTGAAATGGTATCTCATGGGGAAGAAGACTGTTTTATCTGCCATTGGACTGCTCTGCCCAACCAGTGTTATTCTCCCTCTGATTACTTTTCCGTACAACATAGTTCCGGGCGAGTCTCTAATCTACTAATATCCACTTTATTTGTTGTGTTTGCAGATATCAGATTGTATGTTGAGGAGAATTTAAAGGACTGTAGAGCCAGAGCCGTTTCATAGATGTCGGCTTAAATTAAAGTTAAAACTCCGCTTGAACGATGGTTAGGAAGCTTGTGCCTCGCGATGGAGTTCTGAAATCTAGGTCCATAGACTCCCGCTGCTGAATTTATTAACTCATTTGATTGCGAAGCATTATTTTGGCTATAATTACCTTTCCGAAAACACTCAAATATTTTGGAAAGTTGTGGGCACTTATGCCATCTCTAAGCCCTGCCTGCTCCACCTTTGCCTTTTTGCAACTGCCAGAAACTGCTACCATTGCTGTCTGCGGCGTCTTAAAGTCAAAGCAATTGTAGACGCTACGTGTAATCGTAATCGAACTGCCTTCCCACGCGAAAATGCCAACAGCGCCTCATTGTGGGTGAAACAAAGTTCAAAACAATTTCTTTATAATGGATCTAGGTACGACTCTTGGTCATAAAAAGTACTACAAAATGAATGAATACAATGGCGCAACAAGAGGTTATAAGTGTAGGTAGAAACAAAAGTATTATTTGTGCAATGCTGTGGCTATGCGCCAAATTAAACAGACAGTTGCAGTTACAACAATACAATAAAACGGACCGTTATGTTTTAACAGTTATTTAACAAGCAATTAACCCGAGATACTAAAAATGCAAATCTCTGCTACAGTTCAGCTGAGCAAACTACGCCTTGCACCATACTCGGCTTTCTAAACAAGCTAAGCTGTTGGACGCGGTCAGAGCGCGGTCGCGGGTCATTCATCTTAATTATCACGCTCCCCACAACAGAGGCAGACTCACACGGCTCAGGCTCAGGCTGATACTCGGACACGGGCTCGGGCAGCTTCAAAGCTTCAAATTAAACAAAATGTGGCTTTAATGTACATACTTCGGAATTCATTAGACAGCGGTGGCAGCCAGCAAGAAAAACCCTAAAATAATCATTTCCCTAGTCTTTGTTTTTCTGCTTTTCTGTTTCTCTATTTCTGGCTCTTCTGGCATCTAAAACACTGTCCATTGACCCATTTGCATTGTAAGCAAGACAATCTCTGCCCAAAGAAAATTAGTAGAAGTAGAAAGCTGTCTGGGCTGGGGACTGGAATTGGGGCTGGGCCATACAAGATTGTTTCCACCTTTATGGCGCCAGAATTTTTTATTTTGAATTTTTATGCGTAGTTCTCTTGTTTTAATCACCGGAAGTTATTTTTGGGCATCATCAAAAACAGCAACAGCAGCAGCAGCAGCAGCACCAGCACCGCTTAATTACATTCTACTATTTTTCTCTATGGCTTAGATAGTGTTCGTTGGCAGCACATCTCATGAGATATGAGTGTATTTAAATTGCTTTGGTTTCGCATATCGGATATGTATTCCAGTTGCTGTTCACTTTTTTGGCTTGCCAATTAGACACGTTCGGTGATTGTTTGGCAAGCGTGTGATATGGAAAATAAATATGAGCACAATATTCGGAGTATTCTGTGCTGCAAGCAAGCATTTCTACTACCACTAATGTACAAATAGTATGTTCATACGAATCTGCTGACATTGCAGATTCGCCAGTGTGGGTGTAGTTTGGTTGTTGGTGTCCAAGAACGACTTGTTCAATTTTTCAATTTTTAATTAATTTACTTTGTCAGCCGCATTGTACAACACAAATGGCGGTAGATTGGGAGACACATACTAGTACTAGATACGAAGAGCGGCATAAATATGAATCATCACTATTATTTATGTTCTATTTCATTTAACACTCACATCTTTAATAAAATTAAATGGTGGCATATTCTGTTGTGTGCTTCTCTCGCCGCTTTGTCACAAATGTTGCCAATATTTCCCAAATGCAGCAGCTTCAACTTGTTGCTGTTTTTGTTGTTTGTATGTATGTATGTGCGTGTACGTGTATGCCTTATTTGCCGACAAATGTGGCTTGTAATTACAGCCAAAACGAATTAAACAATTTTAATTTTTTCGCACTCTTTTTACACGTTTGTTGTGTTTATGGCCCGGTGTTTTTATACTAATTTTTTGTTGTTGCAAATTTACCGCTAAACACACTTTGAGAGAAAAATGTAAAGCGTGTGAGAGAGGGAGAGGGAGAAGGGGTGAGCGCGCACGACCAGCTCCAAATGAAGCGCAATTACGACTCGAATTTTATTTGTTATTACTGGCGATTATTGTATGACGGAAATATAGAAGTGCAGAATCTCGGAGCCGAATTAACCCAAATTGTGAGCGGAAGCAAAAACAAAAGGTAAAATAAACAAAGATTGGTAACGCGTATGCGCGGCGTTCGCGTTCACTTAACCCGTGAAAAGTCTGTCTGTAACTGAAGCTAAGCTTTTGACAACTTCAATTGAAGTGCGTCCCGGCTGGTTGCGCGCTGAGAGCAAAGCGGCTGCATGTCAAGGGAAGCGTGGGATCGGCTTTAGAGTTCAGCTTGGCAGTGCTGGGGTTGGAAAATGTAAAAACATACAAAAATACTAGTACATACTACTATGTATGTATGTATGTACATACATATATAGTGTGTACATAAATTATTTGTGAGAAAAACATTTTAGAACGTTTTTGGATCTCTTTTCTCTTTTTGAAGTCAAGCTAGTTCGTTTGAAGAAGGAAGGGAGGGGAGGAGAGGGTGATAGCGAAACAGTTCGGCCGAGTTTGAAGCTACGGGTGTGATAATTGTTTACTACTTTTAGTGCCACAATAAAAACAAAAAATGTGTGCATGTGTGTGTGTGCGAAGATTTACAGTGAATGCTCCATATAAGAATATATGTAGAAGATAATTATAGAAAAATGAAGCAAACAGTTTAAAAAAAATATGCATATAACAAAATTATTATTAATAAGAGAAAAATTGATTTCCTAATCATAACATCAAAAAGTAATCAATTCAATTCTTAAATATTTAAATAGATAAATAGAAATAAAATTAAAGATACTTTTTCTTTCTCTCCAAGTTGGTATAGAAATTCTGTGGTTTCCAGTCTTACCAACTAGTTATCGACAGTTGTTACAGTCTTACAGTCTAAACAGAATTCCTCTGAGTTTTGGAATTAAACAATTTTTTTTAATGAGCACTTATTTTGAAATGGTCATTTATATCCAAAACAATAATAAAAACCATGTGCTACTTACTAATCTATAGCATACATTCCTTAGTAAAAGTTATTTTTCGAAAAATACAATTGTAATAAAGGTTTACGGGAATGTGTTTTCAAACGTTCTGATTTGAAAACAAAAACCACAAATTCCGTGAGCTAAAATGTTTTTTTAGAAGCCACATCAACCACAAAAGTGCCATTTTCCGGATTAGGAAGAACTTGCAAAGCAAGTTTTGTGACTTATTTCTTAATTATCTAAACAGATGCTCTTGAATTTTGAAGATTTTACTAATTTGTATCCTTGTGCTTCCAATAATAGAAAAACTAACTTATGTATTTAGAGAATATTATTTATCCGATCCGATCGGTGCCATGATAGCGAACGGTCGGACAGGCTGACATGCTTATATCGATTCGTCTAATCATGCTATAACATGAAGCCTTTCACGCTCCCTTCTGCCTATTACATAAATACATGTGATGTTTACCCTTTCTAGCATATCTACTTTCAGTATAACGATAAAGTTACATCCAGAAAAATGAAGGAGTTGCCTTTTTCAAGTGTGTGTTGTGAGTTATATACTTCGATGTTGCATGCCGCTTACTGTAGCAGCGCATTTCAGAGCGTGTGACTGGACTATGTATTCGTTTTTGGCCCTTTCTTTGTTATTCATTTGGTGAAAAAGAAGTGCGGGTTAAAAGCGAAGCCAGCAGAAACGAAATAAATAGTACCTATGTTCTTGTTTGTTCTCTGCGCTACCTGTTGCAGTTGCCACCACCAACGTGAGGCGCTCAAGCGTGCTTCCCGTTTACTGCGCAGACGCCGACAGACACTTCTACCCCACAGCTAGCCATGACGCATGCAAGTGAAACAAAATGTGGTACTATACGTTCTAGTTATTATTGTTAATACATGCAAATCAGCATGTGGCTTGCCAAAAGTTTCCCAGAATTACATTCCAAACAATCAAGATAACTAACAATTTTGTATGCGGCTACTACTCCTTCCCTGCAATGGCACACCAGGCGTCTCAATTACTGCTTTGTTGCTTTGACTGCAAGATATCTTCGATGTGGCGCTCGGTCTGCTCGCCGCACTCGAAACGATGGTAGTCCACAATCGTCACTTGATTTTCCTGAAGCACTTCACCAACCGTTCGGTCGGCATCAAGCAGATATTCTTGATGTATGAGGCAGGTCTCATCGTCCTTATTTTCGGCCGGCTTATCCTTGTCATATTCACCGATTTTCTTTGGCTTCATGCCCACGATTTGCTGGCACATGCTCTTTTGGAACTCGACATCCAGATCGGCTGCCGAACGAAATGCAATGATGGCACCATATTTGCCTACTTGCGTGATGTCCTCGACGGTGCCTACATTAACTGGCGCAGGATGCGCGTAGCCGACCAGCTGCAAATCGTTGTTTACCTTGAAGCAGAGTGCTCGGCGAATGGAAGCATTCTCGCCCATGGCGCCAATAAGCAAAGCTAAATGATCACCCAAATTGCGGCCCTCGTCGGTGCGCAGATTCTTCAACGCATCCGCATCGAAGCCAAGCTGTGTCAGAGAGAATGAAGAGGATTTTTACAGTTGCTGGACATTAGAAGATTTTCGTGTTACCTTCCACAAATCACCATCGAACTCGGTCATATCGGTATAATGCAAGCAGATGCGGGCTACGTGATCCACGAACCGCTTGAAGGTGTCATTGCGTGCAACGAAATCCGTCTCACAGTTCAGCTCCACCATAGCGCCACGATTGCCATTTATAAGCACACCAATGAGGCCCTGTGTGGTCGCCCGGTCAGCCACTTTGGTGGCCTTGGTCCAACCCAAAGATTGCGCCTGTTCGTGCAACCATTTCTCAGCCTGCGCCGAATATAGAGTAATTGAGCAAGTCTGCCAATAAAGAATAACGTGCACCTTACCAAGTTGATGTCATTATTGTGCAACTCCAGTGCCTTTTTGCAATTGGCAAATGTGTAGCCGGTTTTCTTGCGCAGCGCTGCTAGGGCGCTCTTTTCAATGCCCGTGCCAACACTGTTGCTATATAAACGCCGCGTTGTGTGGAGGGCGCGCATGCAGAACTTTTGTAGCAGCATTTTCCTCGTTACTCAATTGTCGGCAAATTTTGTGAGAATTTTTGTTGTGTGGGTGCAAACAAGATTTTCCAGAAATATGTATGTGGACTTGTTGAACGCTGCCTGCTGCCACGGCGACGTGCTTGTTGTTATGTTATCCAAAAAATCAATTTATTCTAAACAAGGTGAGATTTTCATTTGATTTTGTTTTCAGCCGCTTGTAACAGTCGTTCACCAGCCGTTTTTGGAAAGCTTACAGATAAACATATACGCGTTGCGGCGCGTTCTTTATCGGGTCAAGTGGCCACAGAAGACCCGGTTTTAGTACATTTACGGCTGAAACGACGACTGATGAGCCAGTGTATGTGATTTACAAAAATTTCGGTAACATTGACAATTTTCCGGGTTGCACAATTTTGACGGTTCGTAGTTATGACACTCTAGTACACATGCTTTCCGGCAAACAGCTGACAAGTGTTATCGCGAAAAGTTTTGTATTGATTGGCGTTGCCACCTTGTCGGCAGGTGTGTGTCTGTGCTAAGTCGATTCCAATTCACAGTTATTTTTCGAATAAACAAACAAACATATTTCCAAAAATCTTTTCTTTTACAGCACACTTACGTTGTTGTTATTATTCAGCAGTGTGACTGCTGAAAAATTGTTACAGCCGACAGAACACAATGAGGAGCTCACAAAATCCCAATGCACAGGTATCCAGCTTTACGTCCGTGTGTGGTGCCCGTCGAATATGCCAGAAGTCCAATTTGATTTACACGCGACCCAAGCCGGATGTGTTGCAGAGCATTTTGCGCTCGAAAGCCAATCCGGAGTACAAGTCGCGCAAACTGTGGTATGAGTTGAATATGCCTGAATGCGCCAGTCACATACTCGATGGGAAAATGCTGTCTAGTCTGCCGGATAACATTCTGTACGCCAAGCCGGAGCGTTCTCGCCGCCGGCGCACTCAGAAAAGCGATCAAGCCGAGTCGCGGGGCAAGAGCAATTATATGACTATGCGGATGGAGCGCGAAAACTTTCGGCGCAAGCTCGTCGAGCTCATACTGCACATGGACGATGATCCGACGACGGGGGGCCAATGCTCCGTACCATTTCCAGATAAGGGCGAGCGTGAGATGTTGCGCTACTATTACTATATAAAGCATGGAATTGATACGATCCACGTCTCTGCTATCAACAATGCCATACTCAAGAGGTAGGTTGTCTGTACATACATATGTGCAGAGCAGTCGGAGTCAAAGTTGTAACATTCGATTGCCTTGCAGAATATCCGCACTGGTGCCCGCATATCTGAACAAGTGGGAATCGGCATTGAATGAGAATATTGCCGAGGTGCGTTCAGATTATGTGTTTGCCATGAAAAAGGCTGTTGTTGATTTTGTACTGCGAGAATCTGTGCTAAATCGTTTGACAAAAGAGGGTAGGGCTACTCCGCAAGAGACGGAGGAACGGCAGGAGGTCAACCGGCTTATGAATCACTGGCGCTATCGGTGAGTATCCTTCTACCTGCCTACAAGCACACAAACAAACAAAAACAAAAAAATAATAATGAAACCGCGAAGTTAATTTAATGTACTCCTGAGAGTCAGAAGCATGCTTTATGAAAATTTCAATGGAAGGTGTCGCCTGAAAGTATGCAATTGACATGCAATTACACACACACGCACACATCCTTACTCACCCCCACATTTCAGGAGGGCGGCATGTCAGCACGTGTGGAGGCGGCTGTAAATTAAAATCTCAATCAGATTTTTATGAAATGTATTGCTTTTTAAGCCGGGAAAAAGAGAGGCGCGCGGGCGAGCGGGTGTTCATTTGTTCGATCGGGCGTTGTCATAACTCGAGTCTTCGGTACGCGAAAAATCACTTCGAGTCGTACGAAAAGTTTTTAACCACACTCTACCGTTAACCTAAGGAAATGGAGAACCAGCACCAACAGCAGCAGCAGCATCAAGTTAAGCCCTCCTGTGTATTGGCCTGACATTTGATGAGCAACAGTAAGCTGGGCTGCATTGGGGCGGCAATGTACTCGTACATTGTAAAACGGATATGCTTAAGAATGAATTGAACTTGTTTTTGACACTAAGCGCAGTCAGCGGGAGCATGGGGGCATGGGGCTGTGGGCGAGAAGAAAGCTTGCGCCATTGTAAGACAAAGTTTGATTTTACTCCAGAAAACTCATTGTCAAGAAAAAGTTGCCTTGTTGTGGGTTGACTGGGCTGTGCGGTTGTGCGGCTGTGTGGTTTCATTTTGTGCCTTAAGTGGGTCGCCTGGGCGCCCGGGCGGGGTCTCTGGGTATAAGATATAAGGCAGCAATGCGGCTTTGGCAGCAGTGGCTGGCGGGGGTCGGTGGCGTTTCGATAACCGTGTTCTGTAATTTATAACCTTAAGCATTTAGCGTCATTAAATGTGTGCCGGTGTGGGGGGGCAGATGGCTTGTGCGCTGGGCTTAATGGGCTGTGACAAATTTCCTCAAGTGTAGAGCTCTACAGATAGGCTGATTCTAATTTGCATGCTTTAAGCGAGCCTTTCAGTACTCAAAAAGGTAAATTATTGACCAAATCCCAATCTTTCAGCTACGATGAGAATCGCAGTCGACTGAAACAAACACTCTTCTGTATTCATCGGTCCGTGGCCAGCATTCTGGAGCTGTGGAGTTTGAAATATGCCACAGCTACCCTTGTCAATATCGACGAAATAAAAAAGGCCACAGAGCCGTTTGCACTTTTCAATTTTGTGGTAGGTAGTAAGTAGCCATTAAAAGAGATACCAAGGTATTCTAACGGTCTTTATGTCCAGTACATGTGCGGGGCAAACATAGACAATGGCAAGAGCATGCTGGAGGATACATGGTACGGCGAGATTCACGCAACGCTGCTGAAGGCCAGTAAACGGGGCCAGCTGCCAGACATTCGACGTACTACACTGGTCAAGCGGTTCTTCAACTGCGTGGCCGCGCTGATGACGCAACAACTGGAGGACATTTGTATACGCACGCTGAAGGGTTTTGCCGATTTCATATGCGATTTTGGTGTAAGTTATAAATGAATGCTGGAACACTCTCCACCATCCACCATCCACTGACCATCGATCATTTGGTTGCAGCATTCGAATCCCGGATTTCAAATTGCTGTCATGCTTGCCGACGAGGACACCATAGCCTTTAATCCAAGTTTTTCGAAGATGCAGAGCGAGCTGCTGCGTGTCATCGATTCGATTGTGATGGCCGTGCAGATGCTGCCACGCATCGAGAGCAAACTATACACAGATCTAAAGATCTCGAAGAAGACATATCTCACGCCAGCCGTGCCCGACAGCATTGTGGCGGACACACGCAATCGTATCTGTGCCATGCTCGAGGAGCAGCGCATTGGGCCTGAGCTACGGCTGCAGGACTTTGATATGTTTATAGACCTCATCAATGGGATTGACGCCGAGCGGGTGAACACCTTCATGGATAGCGATGCCACGTTCGAGCAATTCTGTGAAATGGTCTACGAGTACCGTGAGAAGGAGGATCGCATTGCCAAAGAAGTCTGGGGCGTCATTCGCATGGGCCTATATGAGTTCCATCGCGATCAGTTTATTACGCATTTGGAGTCACTGGCCCGTCAGTTGCAGATGGAGCTGTTGTCGCGCATGGTGGCCGACCAACAGGCACGCATTTCACGGCTCGGCAAGGAGTACGATGCCATTGCAAAGAAGGCCCTCACAGTGCCCAAGGACACAGCCGAGCTAATGGAGCTGAAGGCCTATGTGGTGCATGCTGAGGAGAATCTGGTGCCAGAGATGGAGGCACGGCTTAAGGTGAACATGAGCGAGATACTTTGGTTGATGGATCACACGCTATATTCCCCACTGGAGATAAAAAACAACAGCAATTCCTTCCAGTGGTACCTGAAATTGCCATCTGTATTTGAACAGCATCGCGCTATCATAGCCGAAAAGATTATTGAATACCAGGAGGCATTGAAGAAGCGCATTGACTTGTTCCGGCGCGAGCTGCAGAACTACTTCGATCAGGTGCAGACCTATGACACCTGGGGCGATATTAAGCAGCTACTGAAGTACAAGAAGCGTGCCGGCTTGCTCGATCAACGTCTGGTGCAAGCCATGGAAACTATTGACCGCATTAACGAGGAAGAGACGGCATATGGCTGGGATCTGTCACAGTATCCTGTCCGCAAGAAGGCGCACGATCAGCTCAAACCATATAAAACACTGTTCGATGCTGGACAGGATTTCATGGACAAATATGACCTCTGGATGCATTCACAAGTCGGCTCTTTCGATCCGGACGAGATAGACACAGATGTAGCCAATTTCTATCGCATAGTACAAAAGCTGGAGAAGCAAATGGGAGACCATCCCACCACTATGCAATTAATTCTAGATGTTAAGGAGCAAATTGAGGCCTTCCGCGAGCATATGCCGATTATAAATACGCTCGGCAATCCGGGCATGAAAGCGCGGCACTGGGAACAAGTATCCGAGATTATCGGTTTCCCCATCAAAGTATCGCCAGACCTGACGCTGGAGAAGATTATCGAGTATCAGTTGGATGAGTACGTGCCCAAGTTTGAGGCCATTTCGGAGAGTGCCACCAAGGAGAATAATCTTGAGAAGGCCATGTCTAAGATGGTGAACGAATGGGAAGGTGTTGAGTTTACCATTTCGCCATACAGGTAAGCAAACAAGTGGAGGCGCATAGAAATTATAATGGAAATTTAATTGAAATATGTCCCGCAGAGACTCCGGTACCTTCAAGCTGTCGGCCGTAGATGACATACAAATACTCCTGGACGATCAAATCATCAAGACGCAGACAATGAAAAGCTCACCGTACATCAAGCCATTTGAGGCAGAAATACTGTAAGTTGTTGTTGTTGTTGGGATGTCAATGTCAAGCTTACACACACAGACACCCACGCACACACACACACATGGATAGAAGCGTAAATAAACAACCCCAACATTGTTTCTTTCTTGCATTGCAGCAAGTGGGAGGCGAAGCTCATGCTGTTACAGGAGATTTTGGATGAATGGCTGCGTGTGCAAGCCACCTGGATGTATTTGGAGCCCATATTTTCTAGTCCAGACATACAACAACAAATGCCTGAGGAAGGACGGCGCTTTAGTGCAGTAGACAAGGCATGTACACACATACTATACTTGTATTTGTAGTGGATCTCATTTTCACATGAATATTAAATATTAACCTGTAGATTTGGAAGGAGCTGATGAAGCAGGTCGCATCAGATCCACGCGTGATGACGGTAGTACAAATTGACAAGATGAATGACAAGCTCAAGAAGGCATATAGCTTACTGGAGATTATACAGAAGGGTCTGAATGCGTACTTAGAAAAGAAGCGTTTGTACTTCCCCCGCTTCTTCTTCCTTTCCAACGACGAATTGCTGGAAATACTGTCCGAGACCAAGGATCCAACGCGCGTACAGCCCCATTTGAAGAAATGCTTCGAGGGCATAGCCACGCTCAATTTTACCGAGGAGTTGGACGTCACGGCAATGCGATCAAGCGAACGCGAAGTAGTGCAGCTAGTGGATGTTATATCTACAGCCAAGGCGCGTGGTCAGGTCGAGAAGTGGCTGTTGGAGCTGGAGATTGATATGAAAAAGAGCATACACAACAAGATTTCGGAGGCCTTCTACAGCTATGTGAAGATGGTGCGACATGTGTGGGTGCTCACCTGGCCGGGTCAATGCGTGCAGTCCATATCGCTGACCTATTGGACCCTCGAAATAACTGAATGCTTCCAGAGCGAATCGCCTAGAGACAGTCTAGAGAAATACTTACAGAAGTGCATACAGCAGATCAATCGCATTGTAGACCTTGTGCGTGGCGACCTGAACACTCAGAATCGCATCACATTGGGCGCCTTAGTTGTGCTGGACGTGCATGCACGTGATGTCCTTGCAGATATCGTCGCCAAAGGTGTAGATGACCTACAGGACTTCCAGTGGCTGTGTCAGCTGCGCTATTACTGGGAAGACAACAATCTAGACACACGCATGATCAACTGTTCGTTGCCGTACGGTTACGAGTATCTTGGCAACACAACGCGACTCGTCGTCACTCCGCTCACCGATCGCTGCTATCGAACACTATTTGCGGCGTTAAATCTGCATTTGGGTGGGGCCCCGGAGGGCCCGGCGGGCACAGGCAAGACAGAGACTACAAAGGATTTGGCAAAGGCTGTGGCCAAACAGTGTGTGGTGTTTAATTGCTCCGATGGATTGGACTACTTGGCACTGGGCAAGTTCTTTAAGGGGCTTGCTTCCTGCGGTGCGTGGTCGTGCTTCGACGAGTTTAATCGCATTGATCTGGAAGTGCTGTCCGTAGTGGCTCAGCAGATTATGACAATACAACGTGGCATCAATTCGGGCAGTCCCACGTTAGTATTTGAGGGCACGACCTTAACTTTGGACCCCACGTGTGCTGTATTCATTACCATGAATCCGGGCTATGCTGGACGCTCTGAATTGCCGGATAATTTGAAGGTGCGTTTGCCAAAGATGAAGTCGGAGTTTAGTTAATGTTTCTTTTCTTTTTGCCCAGGCACTGTTCCGCTCTGTGGCCATGATGGTGCCAGACTATGCCTTGATATCTGAAATCGAACTGTACTCCTATGGCTTCTTAACTGCAAAGCCGCTGTCTGTTAAAATCGTAGCGACCTATCGCCTGTGCTCGGAGCAGCTGAGTACACAGTGTCATTATGATTATGGCATGCGCGCGGTTAAGTCTGTGCTGAAGGCGGCTGGTGCATTGAAGTTGCGCTATCGCGATGAGAATGAGGACATACTTGTCCTGCGCTCCATTAAGGATGTCAATTTGCCCAAGTTCCTTAATCAAGATATACCGCTGTTCCAGGGCATAACTTCGGACTTGTTCCCAGGTGTTGTGTTGCCCGAGTCGGACTATGTGGTCTTCAATCAGTGTACAGAGTGGGCTTGTGAGAAGCAAAACAAGCAATGCACGCCGTTTGTCCTGGAAAAGGTTCAGCAGGTGGGTTAAATGAATTACCCGGTGATTGTTATTTCTCGCATAATCAACATGCATTCTCTTTGGTAGCTTTATGAGATGATTGTTGTGCGGCATGGCCTGATGTTAGTAGGCTATCCATTTGGGGGCAAGTCCACTACATATCGTGTGCTCGCTGAGGCCCTGGAGTGCATGGAGAAAAAGGATGGTTCGGAGAATCGTGCGATTTACACGGTTATCAACCCAAAGGCCATTACCATGGGCCAGTTATACGGGCAGTTCGATGCCGTATCACATGAGTGGAGCGACGGAATTTTGGCGGTCAACTATCGTATATTTGCCGTTTCTGATACGCCTGATCGCAAGTGGCTTATCTTTGATGGGCCTGTTGACGCCATTTGGATTGAAAACATGAACACTGTGCTCGATGATAACAAGAAACTGTGCCTTATGTCCGGCGAGATTATTCAACTGTCGAACACTACCAACTTAATATTTGAGCCTATGGACTTGGAAGTGGCGTCCCCTGCTACGGTTTCGCGCTGTGGCATGATTTATCTGGAACCTAGTTCGCTGGGTTGGGAACCATTGGTCGAGTCGTGGAAGAACACATTGCCAGCCAGCTTTCACACTGTCAGCAAGCAGTTAATCGCGGCGCTAATAACGCGTTTCTGTCCGATATTACTATATGTGGTGCGAAAGGGCTTAAAAGAAATAGCGCCCACATCGGATGCAAATTTAATGATGAGTTTGATGAACTTCTTCGAGTGCTTCATCGATGATTTCAAGGATGAGAAATACGTGGCTAACATCTCGGATTTGGACTTCCGTGCGCAAATCGAGGGTATCTTTATTTTCTCTGCCATTTGGTCTCTAGGTGGTTCGCTTAATTCCGAGAGTCGTGAAAAGTTTAATATCTTCTTCCGTGCGCTTATGGAGAAGACATTCCCCACAGCACTGTATGAGACATACGGCATCACAGAGGATCTGTATGTGCCTGCACTGCCGAAGCCTTTTATATTCCCCATACCCAAACAGGGCTCTGTCTTCGACTATCGCTATATCAAGGAAGGCAAGGGGAAGTGGAAGCCGTGGCAGGACGATGTGAACTCAGCTCCGGCTATACCTCGAGACATACCCGTCAATCAAATCATCATACAGACGAACGAGAGCGTGCGCATTGCGGCAGTTTTAGATTTGCTGGTGCGGCATGGAAAGCCCCTGATGCTTGTCGGTCCCACCGGCACAGGCAAGAGTGTCTATGCCATAGACTATATGCTAAAGCGCATGGACTTGAACACATACAAGCCATTGTTGATCAGCTTTTCAGCACAGACATCGGCCAACCAGACGCAGGACATTATCATGTCCAAACTAGATAAGCGGCGTAAGGGTGTCTTTGGTCCACCTCTGAATAAACGTTTTGTGATATTTGTGGATGATGTCTCGATGCCATTGAAGGAGAATTACGGAGCACAGCCACCCATTGAACTGTTACGCATGATGCTTGATCACATGATGTGGTACGATCGAAAGAATATTGTGCCCATGAAGCTAATTGACTTGCAAATGATTACGGCCATGGGACCCCCGTCTACGGGCAATACAGTTACGCCGAGATTCCAGCGATTCTTCAATGTAATCAGCATTGATGAGTTCAACGACGATATTATGAAGACAATCTTCAGCAAAATTGTTTTGTGGCATCTAGACACTCGGTGAGTAGAGAGCCATTTCGGAGCATTTGTTTTTCCTAACTAACATAACTTCTGGCCACCGACAGCGGTTTCTCGAAGGAGTTTGATCCGTGCATTGATGAAATCGTCAATGCCACTTTAACAATTTATAATGATGCAAAATTGAATTTGTTGCCGACGCCCACCAAGTCGCACTATCTCTTCAATTTGCGTGATTTCTCGCGCGTCATTCAAGGGGTGCTGCTATCCGTGCCCGAGGCCACAGAGGACATGAATTCAATGCGTCGATTGTGGGTGCATGAGGTGCTACGGGTATATGGCGATCGCCTCGTTGAGGATGCTGATCGATCTTGGCTCTTTGAGAATCTTTGCAGCACAGTACGCAATGCGTTCAATTCAGATCCGTCGCGGCTATTTGGGCGCTTGCTCGCCAAGGATAAGCAGTTGGAGGAGGCGGATTTCCGTCAGCTCATCTATTGTGATTTTACGAATCCCAAAGCGGATACCAAGAACTATGTGGAGGTGCAGGATCTCGAGGAGTTGCGCAGTGTGGTTGAGGCCTATCTGGTCGAATATAACAATATGTCTAAGAAACCAATGAATCTAGTGCTCTTCCGCTTTGCGATTGAGCATTTATCCCGAATATGTCGCATTATAAAGCAGCCACGTAGTCATGCTCTGCTCATTGGAGTCGGAGGCTCCGGACGCCAGAGCTTGACTCGTTTGGCTTCGCATATATGTGACTATGAGCTCTTCCAAGTGGAAATCACTCGACTGTACGGTCCGTTCGAGTTTCATGAGGACATAAAACTAATACTACGCAAGATCGGTTCATCGGAAATGCATGGCGTTTTTCTGTTCACAGACGTTCAGGTTTGCTTTTGGTTATCTCTATTTTAGGGAGGGAGGGTACTTTAGTGGGTCAGTTCAATGCTAATTTGGGGCTTTTTAGATCAAAGACGAGTCGTTTTTGGAGGATATCAATAATTTATTGAACTCGGGCGAGGTGCCCAATCTGTTTACCAATGAGGAAAAGATCGAAGTTGTCGAAAAGATGGCACAAATTGACAAGCAACGTGATAAGTCCGTGCAAACAGATGGAAGTCCTGTGGCATTGTTCAATTTCTTTGTCACGGTAAGTTAAATTACTCTCATGGTCAGCTCCTTCAAGTGGTACACTTTTTATTTTCTTTCTCCGAAGACCTGTAAAGATCAGTTGCATATTGTGCTGGCCATGTCGCCGATCGGTGAGGCTCTGCGCAATCGTATACGCAAGTTCCCCTCTATTGTCAATTGCTGCACTATCGATTGGTTCCAGTCGTGGCCAGAGGACGCCCTATTGGCTGTGTCAACGCGCTTCCTTGCCAGCGAAGATCTTACCGCTTTGGAGCGATCGACAGCTATCGATATGTGCATGGATTTTCACACCTCCACGCAGTCGCTGTCCGAGAAGTTTTTCTCGCGATTGCATCGCTATAATTACGTCACTCCGACTTCGTATTTGGAGTTGATACAAACCTTTAAGGCGCTACTAGGCCAGAAGCGCAAGTGAGTTTGTTTTGTAATTTAGTGAGCCACAAAAATGCATCCTCAATATGTTCTAACTAGCAACATTACAATGAATCGCAATCGCTATTTGACGGGCATATCTCAGTTAGATATAGCCGCTCAGCAAGTGGGCGTCATGCAGGAACAACTGCAGGCTCTGGAGCCGAAACTGAAGGAGGCTTCCGAAATTGTGGCCGAGCAGGTGGCCAAAGTGACAGCTGACAGTAAAATTGCCGAGGAGCAGAGGGAAATCGTCAAACAGGACGAGTTAGCGGCCAAGGAACAGGCCGCTGTAGCTCAGGAAATAAAAGACGAATGTGATGCCAAGCTAGGTAAGTACTATAAAAGCTATAATTTATTATTTTTATTTTTTTATTTGTTGTTTTTTTCTGTCAGTTAGATATATTTAATTGGCATAAATAAGCAACAAATACATTTGTACTACTATATATAATAAACCCTAGTTAATATATACATATTCGTTCTTACTCTAATAGTGCCTAACGGGCACTCTATAATTAAAGTCTTAATTAATTAAAGTAATCTATATACTACTAACTTATGAATTTGTTGAACAAAGAAATTATAATTAATACGTAATGAAAATTGGAAAAAAACCTTACTTAGAAATTTAACACATTTTTTTTTTATAAAGAGGGCAATGTCTTGAAACTAAAAGGGTTAAGGGAAGGGGATCTACAAGAAGGCGATTATCATTCATTCGTATTATAGTTGATGCCCTTTTGTATCTATTTCCTATTTGTTGGTTAAAACGCATTTCATTAGCTGCTATTGTGTTGCTCATGTTTGTAGTTTGTGTTGTTGCTCTCCTATTTCTATGGAAAGTATTGGGATTCAAGGGCGTACGCAGCTTTATCCAAAGGGGGGGTGGGAAAAAAAAAGATTATTATTATCAATAAAAAAACTTCATCAAATACAACTCAGTTCATAATAATGAATGTGGCCTCATATGGCCCCCCTTCGTACGCCCTTTTTGGGATTCCTTCATTATTTTGCACGTCTTTCAAGGTATATAAATGCCTCAGGTGGTACGAACCACTAAGTTTTATGATAAAGTCCTAATCCTATTCTATCCTAATCACATTGGCAGCATCACATATCCTTAAGTTTGAATAGAACCTTATGAAATCGCTTTCTGGCGTTCTGTGAAACCATACTTTCTTCTATTAACGTATTAATACCTCCGACTTTTGACTAAAGGGGAGGCACTTCCGATTTTGGATGCTGCTCTGGCTGCTCTTAACACATTAACTACGGCGGATATTGCTGTGGTAAAGACTATGAAGAGTCCTCCCATCGGTGTGCGCATTGTTATGGAAGCCGTGTGCATCTTGAAGGATGTCAAGCCCGATAAAGTTCCCAATCCCAGCGGTCTCGGCACTGTGGAGGACTACTGGGGTCCCTCAAAACGTGTACTAAGCGACATGAAATTCCTGGACAGCTTGCTAAACTTTGATAAAGACAACATACCGCCGCCTGTAATGAAGAAACTGCAAGATCGCATTCTGAACAATGAGGCTTTTGATCCGGACAAGATAAAGACCGCATCCACTGCTTGTGAAGGTTTATGTCGCTGGGTAATTGCTCTGTCCAAGTACGATGTTGTGGCCAAAATAGTGGCTCCAAAGAAAATAGCGCTGGCCGAGGCCGAGGCCTCGTACAATACGGCCATGAAAACACTGAACGAAAAGCTGGCCCAATTGGCACGAGTGGAGGCCAATTTGGCGGCTATACAAAAGATTTTAGACGAACAGCTCCGTCAATATGGGTACGTACTTAGGCGCAGTAACATACAATTTTCAGATGGTTGATGGCTTGTCGACCTTTCACAGCATTTTGCAAGCGGAACACGAGGCATGCACAAAGAAGCTGCAACGCGCACAGGAGCTTATTTCAGGACTCGGTGGGGAGCGAACACGGTGGTCGGAGACGGCCAAAATGTTGCAGGGTAGCTTCAAAAGCGTTACCGGCGACGTGTTGATCTCGTCCGGAGTTGTAGCCTATTTGGGACCCTTCACCATTGACTTTCGCATCAAACAAATACGGAAATGGGTCGCAAAGTGCAACAATTTTGGCGTCACGTGCTCATTGGACTTTCAGTTGGCCACTGTGCTCGGTGAACCGGTGGAGATACGTTTCTGGAATATCTGCGGCTTGCCAACGGATGCGTTTTCAGTGGAGAGCGCCATCATGATGAAGTGAGTAGAAAATACTTTGTAAATTGTAGTCCTAGGTGAAACATGCTCGAATATAAATTCGCTCTTAATCTTGACGGGCGGGCATGCACATCAATTAAACAACCTGACACGGTAATTATGCGTCGGGCTGCCGCTGCTCGCAAAGTTGTCAGAAACACGAATTTCACTTCTTTCTAATTACAAACATAAAATGTTGGAATTCACGCATATTAAGAAAATTAAAGATATGGCGCGACGCAAGTGTGGGAACAGCAGCGGGTGCTGTGCAGCACAAGCACAAGCGTTAGGTGTAGCCAGGGGGTAGGTACAACCACACATACTATAAAAGACGCCCGCATCCGGCTGATGTTGATGCCACCGTTCGTTGCCTGTACACCGTTGCTAGGATACGACCCACTCACCAAAATCATGAGCACAGCATGCGTCACCATCAGCGCCGGTGGTTGCTGCTGCTTCTGCTTCTGCTTCTGCTTCTGTTGCAAAGCCAGGCCCAGCTTCAAGGTACAAAAGAAAATTCGTTCGTGGGGGAATATGTATGTTCGTTCATGTTTGATGCGTGTATTACGCATCTGGTGAATTTCACTAAGGTCAGAGGAGGCGTCCCACATGCCACATGCCTCATGCCACGCCACGCCACGCCACACCAAACCACTCCACCACTCTACTCCACACCACATCACTAGCTGGCTTCCACAGCCGTGCCTGCCATTCGATTTAATAAACGAAATTCTTGCTGTAGGCTGGAAAGTGTTCAAAGTAATTTGGAGCATGCCAAACATACCCTGGGGAGGAGGGCGTAAGAAGTGCAGCGACCTGTCCCGTGGATAAGCAATTGATTAATGTCCGCCATGGCGGATTACATGTAATTCCTAAATAGATGGGGAGCAGACGCTCTCCTCGTACTGGTCAGATGCACTAAGACAACAAGAAGAAAAAGAAAAACAAAAAAAAGGGTCGGCTAAAGTAAAAAGGAAAAATTTCCACTACTTATTCTACAATTTATTCATTTTTATCCGCAAACGGGTAAATTATTTGCTAGTCGTACTGCCAACCTTTTCGTACCTGGCACAGTCTTGGACTGCACGCTTCGAGTTAAAACAAAGGGTTTATAACATTACAGGAGGAAGAAGGAGGCATGGCCCAGGTTTAATGTAAAGCATTTGTATACATATATGTATATTATTATTTATATTATCTCTATGTTCTCTATCTTTTCATCTACATAAGTAAAATGCAATCTTCATTTAACCTCTGGAAAAGCTCTACACCGATTCAGATACATTTTCCCAGGGGTAAGAAAACACTCCTCTGTATCATAGAGTTGTGAAAGCGATGGGAAAATGACAGTTCAAAATTTAGTAAAAGTCTGCAGTGAACCAATAGACCAATAAGTACACCCATTAAGTAAAATTTTGCAAACAACGAACTAGAGCCAACCTGCAGCTAGGATAATGAGAAAAGAATATTTTTAGTAGCACAGCAACGCAAGACATCTTAGCTAATTGCTCCATCTGTATGTTTGTAATGTATCGACAAAACATTAAGTTTACATTGGTGTACTATTTCATATACAAGTAGCTGAAATAGGAATGATAGGTAAAGTAATCCCCTCAGTATCAAAATTGATATTTAAATTTTTTTGTAATGCCACACCATAATTATAAGATTAATTAAAATAGATGCTCATTATCATGAGGCTGCCATTATAATGATTGGTGCAGGAAACTTGATTTCACTTTATTTATTTATTTATTTATTTATTTATTTATTTATTGACAAACATACATGTCATAGAGAACTTATAAAGTAAAAATTGTTTAAATTACAATAATATCTAATATATATCTAATAAGGGAGAGGATTCGAGTGGTGAACATGCATTATCAATTCCGTCAAGGAGACATTGCTTCCAGCCATCTGAATAAGACGGAATATTGTTAGGCCCAAGAGATTCTACATACGAGAATATTCAAGATAGTAAAAGTCTCTATAGAGTTGAAACACTATGTTGAAGAGAGGGGCTATTACAGTGTATGCAATAGTCGGTCGCGCGTAACTCAGCGCTGCACTAGTTTTGTATTTAATACTTAAGTACATAAGTATTCTATATTTTTCCATATGACACACAAAAATACAAAACAGAAAACGAGCGTCAGTTGCAAGGCATCCTTCATGATGACATCATAGAAGTAAGTTTCATGGTAACAGGTGTCCATTCCAGTTATTAAATTCAGATTAAATTCTAAACTTTTGAAAATGTTCTAAATACGAACAAATCTGTAGCAGGTATACACATAGCTGGTATGTAAATATTTAATTGCATATTAAATACTTGATATTTATTTCCATACACTCAAAAAATTGCATATTTCGTATTTAAATAAAATATTAACAAAGCAACTACTTACTAAATACCTAAAAACATATTTAAACACCTATGTATGTATTTAAATAAGAATGAAATTCAAAATATTCATAGTGTATTTTGATATTTTTCTTAATTTAGATTTGAAGTTTTTTGTACTTGCTTTAAATACATAGTATATTTATTAAATTTATTATTATTAATACTTATTTCGAATATTTTCAAAAAAAATCGCTTTGCTTTGCGATTGTTTAGTGGCGTTATAATTTTTCGATGAGCGGCTCAGAATTTACGATTCAATGCTGCTAGTATATGGGAATTCTTTTTGAAGTATTCCTATGGCTTTAACTATTTTATAAGTCTTGGACATCATCGATAGTCATGTTTCGACTGCTGGCCTTAATTTCCTCCACCATCTGATGACTCCTTAAACTCTTTTAAAGATAAAATAACCAATTCAAGGCTATCTTTGATAGAAAATTTCTTCCAAGCACTGATTACATCTATGAAGTCAGTTTCAGTTGAATCCAAAATCATGCGTTTAGAGCGCCTGATTAAGAGGGAAGAAATTGTTTTTGACATTCGGATAGTTTTTTGCAGGACGTGGGATGTTGTTTAACAACAAAATCGTTTTAAAGGAAAAATTCTGCCTTTTTAAATACTTGTTCTATGTTCAAACCAAATAACGAGCTCGCGTTAAAAGAGTTCATATGAAGCGAGGGCTAGGTGTAGTGAATATATTTATCAGAACAAAAATGTTCGAATAATGGTTTACTTCAAAAATGAGTATACAAATACATATACGAAATACCAGTCCACCATTTAGAAAAAACTAATACAGCTATAATTGATAATTAGAAAAAAAAAATTCTTTTTAATTTGAATTTGAAGTGTTCATACATTATATATTTTGTAAAACTAATTTGTTGAAAAATCGATGGTAAAAATATTTATATCTTCATGTACTCTTAAATATTTGTGTTCTTTTTTTTTTTGAGTGTACATAATGGTTCCTAGTAAATTATGATTGATTTGCCGTTTATGAAACAAACCATTTGGAACTTATCTGTGCGTTGTGTTCTCGTGCCTGCCTGCACTCTCTGAACTGAATACCTTATCTTTTCAGTGTCCTGCCAATGCGTTGCGTGCTGCGTGCCTTTCATGCATTTATCCATATCCAGCTCTATTCGCTGGTATTTTCCACTACACATCGCCGGCACCGTTCTTTTGTTTTCCCATCAAATATTTTCCATTCATCAAGTTTTCAATTTACAAAAATGTTCATTCATTCGCACGAGTAATTTGTATTCGGTGTGAATTTGTCATGTGTTGCTGCTGTCGTTTTTGTTTCCTTTTTTTGTGAGTGTGTGTGTGTGTGTATTGTTGTTCTTGTTGTTGTTGGTTTTTTCATGCCGTTGTGACTGAGAGTTATCGTGCGATGTCGCCCTTTATATGTATATGTACATATGTATGTATATATGTCTGTATTAAGATACAGTCAGGCGTACATAAACGCTACCCTCCCACTCGGACTCATTCATTGGCATACGTATAAGTTTGTGTGTGGCTTATAAATCGCGAAAACATACTTACTATATACGAATGCCTGATGTAGTAGTTTGTACCCCTCAGCATGGGTAAGTGGCCCAAAGCTCGAACAATAGGTAGCAACTTCGCTGTGCCAGCGTTCAATAATATACGAGTACATACTTGAATGTTTCAATGCACTTTCTTTTTAATGTCACTTTGAAATTTATCTGCTGCACTAAAAGCCCCCTAAATTGAATAATCTTTCTATACAATTTCCACTGAATGGTAGTTTGAAAATTGTCATTTACATTGAAGGATTTGGGCGAATATAAATTTTTACTGTCTCTATAAGGTCTTTGTAAAGAGTAAAGAAGATTCTTTAAAATACCCTAAATGTGTATGGATTTATTTTATTCAAAATTTCTCAGGAATTAAATGAAATGAAATCTAAGCCGAATCAGTTTTCTATACAATTTGCATTGAAGGATAGTTAGAAAACTGTCATGAATTTGATTGAATTAAAATATATCCTATCTCTAAATGGTCTGTTAAAAAAGTAACCAATAAACGTACTTTTTAAAGATGTTTCTTTAAAATACTCTAAAAGTGTATGGATTTATTTTGTTCAAAGTTAAGCAGAAATTTAATGAAATTAAGTTTGAAATCTCTCTGCTGCAGGAACAGCGCACTAAGCTTTTCGTACTGAAGGGTACTTAAAAACGTGTCATTTATATTGAAGGCTTAACCGAATTAAAATGTTTTCTGTCTCTATATGGTTTGTTAAAAGCGTAAACAATCAACGTGCAATTCAACGAAGATTCTTTAAAATACAATAAATGTGTATATTTTGTTTAAAATGCATCAGGAATTAAATGCCTCTCTATATCTGATTGCAGAAATGCACGTCGTTGGCCGCTCATGATTGATCCGCAGGGACAGGCAAATAAATGGATTAAGAACTATGAGAAGAATAACAAGCTGTGTGTCATTCGTCTCAATCAACCGGATTATACCCGCGTGCTGGAGAATGCCATACAATTCGGACTACCTGTTTTACTAGAGAATATAGGCGAGGAATTAGACCCCATTCTGGAGTCGATTTTGCTAAAACAGCTCTTCAAGCAGGGCGGCACCATGTGCATTAAGCTGGGCGACTCGGTCATAGAATACAATCACAGCTTCAGGTGAGGGATTACGAGATTCGACGAAGAGTTATTTTTATGTATTTTTTCGCAAATGCGTATTTACAGATTTTACATGACCACCAAGTTGCGCAATCCCCACTATCTTCCGGAGGTAGCTGTCAAGGTCACACTCCTTAACTTTATGATTACATCGCAGGGCTTACAAGATCAGCTTCTGGGTATTACGGTGGCACGGGAACGTCCCGACCTGGAGGCGGAGAAGAATAATCTAATAGTGCAGGGTGCAGAAAATAAGCGCATGTTGAAAGAGACTGAGGACCAGATACTCGAGGTGCTATCATCGGCGGACAATATACTGGAGGATGAAACGGCTGTGCAAATACTGAGCTCCGCCAAAGCCTTGGCTAATGACATCAGTGAGAAGCAAATAATTACCGAGGCCACCGAGAAGCAAATCGACATTGCGCGTCTGAGTTATGTGCCCATTGCAGAGCACTCCACCATTCTATTCTTCACAATTGGTAAGCAGTCAAATCCTTGGAGTCCGAATAATTATATTTCCCACCTGTCCGTTCCATGCAGTCGAGCTGGCCAACATAGATCCCATGTACCAGTACAGCTTGGTTTGGTTTGTCAATCTCTACATGGCCTCCATTGACAACACGGAGAAGGTCGACGATATCGAGGCGCGTTTGAAGGACCTGCGCAATCACTTCACATATAGCCTGTACGTCAACATTTGCCGCAGTCTGTTCGAGCGAGTGAGTATTTGGCTTTCAAACGCAATTATCGTCATGCGGCCTAATGGCCAACCCAGAACCAACCTGTGTTAGCTGCTTTAATTGCGAAATAATCTCATAATGTAGAATTTGAAGCATTTTATCACCGCTTATTTGCTGCTATGTGACTGTGTATCCCCGGTTATTATTCAATTGACCAATGCAGGTACAGCAGCACCATTTCGCCCGATTTATCCACAAATATTTTTAATTTCAATCGGACTGATTTCTACAGAAATTGGTCAAACAAGCACTGATTCAATGACATTGCATTCGAATAAGGGTTCGAATAAGTCTCTTATAGTCTGCTTATAAAAGCTATTTGAAATCAATTGGGTCTCAGGTTTATGAAGTAAAGCTTCTTATGCGAGAGTTTTGAATGGTGGATCGGCAATCTTTTCTGCAATAATGCAAGCAAAAATCAACAGTAGTTTTAAGAACCTAACGGTACAACCTGAAATGTAAACAAACTTGGAGTTCTCTTATTTGTTAAAACATATAAATGCAAGATGGACATTAAAATAGCCAAGCAAAATCTGGTTCGTCTTGATCTTTTGTAGTCGCCATTTCTTGTGGTTTTCGGGTTTTCTAGAAATATTTTAAATGCGAAACAGAACTGCGCTTTCCGAGGCTCTTGAAAGCTGGATCAACAACCATCGATGACGGCGGGCTTTCTTCCAAGTTTATGTGGTTTTATAGCTATTTAGAGCCGTTTTCCAGCGGGGTTTCTATATAATTTCAGTTTTTTTCTAGACTTTTTATCTTTCTCAAGATACCGTTACTCATTATTGTTTTTTCTAGTAATTTTCGAGCAGGATTTTTAGCTATTTATAGCAGGTACGTCTGGCGGTTTTCTAGCACGTTAAACCATCAACCAAGACAAATTTACATTTGTCATCAATCATTAATGAATTATTATAAAGGCTTCTCTCTTCAATCTAAGAAAAATTAACTCAAATCAAATCATTCCAATACCATTAAGTTTCACTTCTATTGCGTGTCGCCCTGACACACAAGTATTTTTTTTGATCAGATGACTTATACAAACATATAAAGTTACATCTTTTAAATTTATTAAATTTTGTATGGGTTCTTATCGTAGAAAATACAAATAGACGCGTTTGCAATCAGAGCAACGCATTTCAGCGTAAACATACATACGTCTAAAAAAATCCCAACAAGTGCTTCACAGCTTCTAGGCCGTTTTCAGTCAATTATGCCTTGTCCCACAAGCATCACAGCGCACACAGAGGAGTGCCTTTGATCCTTGCTTTTTAATTTTCTTGCGAAAAAAATGAAATGAAATGCTATCATCGCTTCGTTTGCCTTTCGAAATGCTTTGATTTCAGTGCACAACCTTTTTGCCTGTGTAACCCATTAAATGCGTGAGTGCCTCGCTTTGCCGTTGGCCTCATGCACACACACACACACACACACATACACCCTCACACACACATACACATACCACCCGGTTACCCGACACGAAGGCAGCGACATTTATAATGAAATCTTTTTCTATTGACAGGACAAGCTCCTGTTCTCGCTTATATTGAACATCAATCTGATGAAGCACGACAACCGGATTGACAATGCTGAGTGGATGTTTCTGTTAACGGGTGGTATTGGTCTTGAAAATCCGCACAAGAATCCGGCACCCTGGTTGGGTGTGAACAATTGGGACGAGGTGTGTCGCTTGTCGCAATTACCAAACTTTAAAGGCCTGCGAGAGGATCTCGTCGCAAATACCGGCAGTTGGAAGGCCTTTTTTGACTCAAAATCGCCACAAAATAATGAAGATGTTCCAAAGGATTGGGCTAAACGTCTGTCTATGTTTCAAAAGTTATTAATCTTGCGCGTCTTTCGTCCTGATAAATTGGTGCCAGCCGTGCTTAACTTTGTATCGCATGAGTTGGGTCCCAAGTTTGTGGATCCGCCACAATTCGATTTAATGGCTTCCTTTGGCGATTCGCACTGCTGTGTACCCTTGATATTTATACTGACACCTGGTTCGGATCCTACGGCCACATTGCTGAAATTTGCCGAGGACCAGGGATTTGGCACGAATCGTTTGTTTTCGCTGTCCTTGGGTCAAGGTCAAGGTCCGATTGCCATGAAAATGATTGACGAGGGTGTTAAGTTAGGGAACTGGGTAGTCCTGCAGAATTGCCATTTGGCTGCGAGCTTCATGCCACAATTGGAGAAAATATGCGAGGGACTATTGCCGGATTCGACACATCCAGATTTCCGTTTGTGGCTCACGTCCTATCCGGCTGATCATTTTCCGGTCGTCGTACTGCAGAATGGCATAAAGATGACCAATGAGCCGCCAAAGGGTTTGCGCTCAAATATCCTGCGATCAATGCTGAGCGATCCAATTAGCGATCCGGAGTGGTACGAGTCCTGCACACAGCCACGCATATTTAAGCAGTTGATCTATTCACTGTGCTTCTTCCATGCGGTCATACAAGAACGTCGTTATTTCGGACCGATTGGGTGGAACATACCTTATGAGTTCAATGAGACCGACTTGCGTATATCTCTAATGCAGTTAAAAATGTTCTTGAATCAGTACGAGACAGTTAATTATGATGCATTGCGATATTTGACGGGCGAATGCAATTATGGTGGACGCGTGACAGACGACTGGGATAGACGCACGCTTAAAACAATTTTGGACATTTACTACTGTCCGGAGGTATTGGATCTGGAAAAACCGTACTTCTTGGACGAAACTGAGCTGTACTACATACCCGTTTATAAGGAGGTTGACCTTTATTTGAATTATACGCGCGACTTGCCACAAATATCGGCACCATCCATATTCGGTTTTCATGCCAACGCCGATATTATGAAGGATCAGAAGGAAACGGACATGTTGTTGTCGCACACACTGCTAACGCAGGTAAGTAATTATTGGCACTGCTTCGGGCCGTTATTAGAATAGGCATCTGTTGCCGAATGGTTGCTTATTATTCTGCTTGCTTAACATTATTGCTCACCTCCCGATAAAGGATCGATGGGTAAGTAAAATAGTGTTGCTATTACTTTTGAGAAATCATCATATTATTTGACTCACACACGCTGACCAGGATCTTTATGAGAAACGGGTAAGAAAGTATTGATGGAGCTTATACAAGTTTGGCTTATAATTAGGTTTCTTTTCAACACAATGCCCGCACTTCAGAAACTGGAAAAGACCCAATTGCTTTATACGCAAGTGCTTTCGAAACGCTTTCCCGAAAACCTTTCCCTTCCCACTTATCCAACATGCCCTCCCTTCCTTGCACTCTATAATCTGCCCCTAAAGGACACGAGTGCCTCTCACGACGACAGCGAGGACTCAAAAGCATTGACCCCCGAAGAGGTGGTCACTAACGTGGCTACTGACATATTGGACAAGCTACCGAAGGCGTTTGATCGCGACGCAGCCCTGCAGCGTTATCCTACTTTGTATCACCAGAGCATGAACACTGTACTGGTTCAAGAGATGGTTCGGTTCAATGTGCTGCTCAACACTATACGCACAAGTCTGATTACATTAAAGAAGGGCATTAAAGGTAAGTACTGGTAATAAACATTTAATTTAATTCAAACATGTGTCAAAAAAGTAGTAGCATTCATTTATGATCTACTCTCGCTGTACTTCTGGTGACAAGTCATTGACTGCTACATTTGGAATTATGTGGGAACCCGATTTTATCAAGCTATATGAACTTCCGCTATGAATTGTCGAGCTAAGTTTGGTACTGAAGAAGGAACTTGTATCCGCCCCATCATCAATGTCTGGGGCTGGTAGGGGGGCGACTGGTGTGGGGGTGACTACTTCAGAAATCTGCTCGCATTTTAAAACTGCTTCAGTCTCATTTTGTTCTTCTTCCACGACTAAATTAAGGTCTGGTGCTTCCAATTCTATTGGTACTTCAGGCGCTTCTTCTTCTGGTATTAGTAATGGCGCACTTGGCTCTGTCAACTCCTTCCAGCTCTGTTCTTCGTCTGCCTCGTAATTGATTTCTTCTTCTGAATCAAACAGATTCTGATCAGCAACATCGGTTTCTTCCTCACTAGAAACAATAGCGTCAATTATACCTAGAAGCGTGTCGTGAGACGAGGTCTGTTGTGCTTCTTCGCGAGTTTCTTTTTTATCAAATACGACTCCTATATCTGACAATGAAGAGGACTTCTCTGTCTCCGCGCGCTCTTTTTTCCATGCTTGATATGCCTTTAAGATCTTAAAGTCCGGCAAATCTCCAATATCCAATGTGCTTAAAATACTGTAAATTTCCTCCAGCTCCACGTTATTCTTGGTAGCACGATTGTATATTTCATACGCAATTAGAGTATCTGGATCAGAATCTTTAAAGTTATCATCGCCTTCATATTTATCGTCGCTAGCCAGAGTCTTTGTCACAAAGTCGGTTTTTAGTTTCTTCAATAGGCTAAGAACTTGGGTTCGTATTATTTCCGAGTCTTCGTGGGCCAACGATGGTAGCTTCAGGTATGGATCTTCGAATTTAAGATCATCAAATTCGAATATTAGAGCGCGTTCATTAACATAATGCACAACAGAGGGTTCGGCTGGTGGCAAATCCGCACCGGTTAAGAAGTTTCGTAATATTTCATCAAACACATCATCGAAGAGATCGTTATAGTTTTCATGCGCAATGCGCTCAACTTCTGTTTTCCAGCGACGACCGGGAACAGCTTGACGTATCACCTTGCGTATAATGGCCCCAGCTTCAATGGATGCCGAGTTTGTATCGCTCTCGCTATCGGTTGAGAAAAGATATAGGTCGTTGTCGATTAACCGATCGACGAGGTCGCTGGTCAGTGCAGAAGCAATGTCGTAGGGCTCGAGCTCATCCCAAATCTTTGGAAATAGCACTTCTTCGATAATATATTTGCTCATAGACTCTTTTTCGCGAGCTTCGAGGGCAGAATTTAAGTCTGGATAGACGATATCGCGGAGTGCATAACGTAGCGGTTCATAAGTCAACGGAGTCTGGACGAGCTTGAAACTGTCAAGCCAGTGCTTTATATCCTTATCAATGCGTTTAGCTAATTCCTGAATGGATTCATTAGCTTCCTTTGTTTCAATATGAGACATGTCGGTGGTTAATATGCTTTTTATATATTCTTTCGACACTTCTGAGTTGGTCAAATTACATTCCTGGAACAGCTCTTCGTACAAATTACGCATCTCGTTCTCCTTTTGCCTCAGACCCGCCTCGGCAGCTTCACGTCGCCAACGCTCCTTCTGCGCCAGTATAGAAAAGAAGTGCATTTTTCTTTGCTCTTTTAATCGTTCCATTTCTTCGGATAGGAATTGCATAACCCAACCTATGGTGGTGCCCTCATACATGTACAATAAATTCTCGAGATCCTCTTGACAGCGCTCAGCCAACAATTCCTTGGCCTGCTGTTGAGTTGGCACTTCTGCATTGGCGCAGTGCCTCTGGAAGGCGAGCAGCTGTTCAGGTGTGAACTGTTCTGTCTTTTCTTTATCCGCGTCAGGTGTTTCGGTTTTCTTATAGTATGCCGAATAGTCTGTTTCCGCATACTCGTATATCTCGCGCCGAACTGTCTCCCTCGGTGGCTCCGCATGATAGCGTTTCTTCAGGCACTTTGGCGACATCTTCTGCTTAGCGGCTTGTGTGCGAAGTCCTTTGAGCGATTCATATAATTTCTGTAGGTTGGCGTCAGAGCAGAAGTTCTGTTCGTACTCCTTAACAGTTTCCTTTGGCCTAGACCATTCCCTGAGTTTGGTGAATGGACATTCCAGTTGATTCATATCCACGCGTTTCTCCAAATCATCGATGCGCATATCAAAGGTCTTCTGTGTGCACTGGAAGTGGCCACGAGCCGGATCCACGCCATTCCGTATAAGGGGTGCATAAAACTCTGAGGTTGGCGAGCCTAGTGCAACAATTGGATGTTGCTTTGACCATTTCCGGGATGTGTTTGTATGTTTCCACAGCAAACGTCGATTGGCGCGATGGAATTCCGTTTCATTTTTCTTGAGACCAGCTAGACGACGCTGTTCTATGCGATCACATGCCAATTCGATGCGCGTCTTGGAGGCGGTGTGCATCTCCTGCTCCCGCTTGTCAAACATGCGAATGACGATTTCTAGACGCATCATTTGGCATTCCTGTATATACTCTTCGCGTTCGATCCAGTGTTCCCATTCAAAGGCTTGCAGTATAGTCTTGTACTTGGACTTGATGGCCAGCTCGCGAGCCTCGTGCAACTGTCTTTTGAAGTTTGTCTTTAGGGCGCTAGTGAAGGCCCAGCGTTTTCGCGCTCGCTCTAGTATTTCAACTTCATAAAGTCCGGGTGGCTTATCGCCCGGCAGCAGCGTTGATAGCTTAAAAAGCTCCAGTCCCTCAGCCAGCTCCTTGTCGACTATTTCGGGTAAATAAGGTAGGGTCTGTGCCGAGGACTCACTAAATCAATGCTATAATTAGTTTGCAACAGATAAAGTCTTTAGTTACATACCGATAAAGCGTCTGTGTGGCCTGTTCCTTAAAAGGGCTGGAGTCAACATATTTGGGGAAGAAGCCGCACTTATTTTTCAAAAGTGGGGGTGGGGTGGCATCTATTTTGAGCTCAAAGCTAGCCACTGTAGGCTCTTTACTACCCATTAGGTAATCTATACCAGGCGCCGATATTTTACATTCACTTGCTGTACGAGGGGCTCCGATTACCTTGCGCTCGGCAGGATTATTGGCACCTGCCATACAGCACAAATTTTATAGATGCGGGGGAAAAAAACAACCATCAATCATGGCCACTTACCCCCTGAATGCCGTTGCTCTAGGGTTGGGGTTGTTATCAGACATGATGTTAGGCCTGTTTGTATTTCGATTTCCCTATTCAGCGGCTTCTCAATGCTTGGCTTGCTGAACGTCACGCGTTTAGTGTGTCTGGGAAGTTCTAGTGTTGTCTTTCCACTAGTTGCACTCTTCACGCTCTTCATACTTTTCGAGCTCATGGTGGACTGCAGGGATTGTTTGGAGGTGCAGCGTCGAAAATAATGCGATTCGTGAAGCACTTCAATAGTGGGCGACTGGACCTTTGCACTGGCCCTGTAAGGTGCAGGCATATTGTTTTGCGTTTAGTTAACTTCTAATTAAATATAATAATAATTCCAAAATTCTGTGCTCTGGTGTGTTAAGTCTAATTTGTAATTGAATGACTGTGCTTTTAATTGATTGTGCTTGATGTTTAATTCCTGGGCCTACTTTGATTTGCCACAACAACAATACAAACAATAAATATTTGATCTGCAGGACTGGTCGTTATGTCCGCTGCTGTGGAAGCCGTTTACAAGTCGGTATTGATAGCAAAGATCCCGGGAATGTGGGCTAGCAAGTCCTATCCGAGCCTAAAGCCACTAGGCAGCTATGTCACTGACTTTTTGCGGCGTTTGGATTTCTTGCAGGTAAGCGTTCGATAACCGGTCACCAAGCAACCGAGTTGTCTAGGTGCTGTTAGGGACTTTTTTTGCGCAATCGATTGAGTGGGCGCATATGTGGGTCACACCTCTCTCATGGAATTTCTCTTACTTTGCAGAAATGGTTTGAAAAGGGGGCGCCCTCTACTTTCTGGCTATCCGGATTTTTCTTTACACAGGCCTTTCTAACGGGGGCTCAGCAGAATTTTGCACGCAAGTACGTCATACCCATTGATTTGCTGGTCTTCGACTATGAGATGCTATCGCTGGAGGAGCATCAAGCTCCGGGCGTATCGGCGCCCATAGATGGCGTGTTTGTGTACGGTATTTACTTGGAGGGCGCCCGCTGGGACCGTAAGATTAAATATCTGGCAGAGTCGAATCCACGGGAACTCTTCGACACTATGCCCCTCATCTGGCTGAAGCCCATCAAGCGCAGCGACTTGCCTGATCGCCACAACTATCTATGTCCGCTCTACAAGACAGCTGAGCGTAGAGGTGTGCTGTCCACCACCGGACACAGTACGAACTTCGTAGTCGCCATGCTGTTACCGTGCAATCCGAAGGTTGAGCCCTCACATTGGATTATACGTGGCACGGCCTTGTTGTGTCAGTTAAGTTTCTAAATATCATTCTTTACAGGACTACAAATATATTTTCTAGTTGCCGCATTTGGTGCGAAATCACAGCAACCACCAATCTGGCCTTTTTCTTTTTTTTTTTTGTTTAGCTTGGAATATTTTTACAGAAAATGTGAAAACACAGGGGATAGGGGTGGGTGGAGTGACCCGAAAAAAGGGTTTACTTGGCAGACCGAAAGCTCATCAATTTCAATTTGAATACATTCTCTGCTTCCACATTTTTGTATCCTAAGGCACGCGCCCATGTAGACTCGTAAGTGCATCTTTTCGTTGCGGCATACTTGTTGTTCGGCCAGAGTTAAGTCAGAATATAAATGGCTCAAAATGTGGCACTGATGGGTTGTTGCCACCTCAATAACTTCCGCGCCCTATGAAGTATCTGCCTTTTCGGGCACGTTAATCATTTATTATCTGACATGACTGTGATTATTCAGCTCCTGTCTTGCCATATTTCATTTTATGCTAGGGCTTTAACTTTTCAATTGTGATGAATCCACCAACAACATTTTTGTTTGCTAAAAATTTGCAATACATTTTACATTTCATGTAAAAACTTTATGCTCTTGCTAAAATATTAGGTGCTAGGGGATTAAGCGCATCATTCAAATAAATATAGAGTCTATCGAAAGCAATTATGGGAGCTCTTTATGCTTAGCATGTGGCACGCATTATCGAGCTTAAAGGCTTTATTTAAATTCAATAAAGCATGTTGATCGAAAACATAAATTACTTTGCGTATTAAGCGAAAGCTGCTATGCTATCTACCTGCGCTCGTGCCACTCCTTCAGCCATTAATTAGCCCTCGAAGCTGTAGCGCCATTTATCGCAATCGCACCCCACTCTACCCCACCCATCTAATAATACTCGTACTGCGTGACCCCATCAAAAATAATGAGGCTAATTAAGCAACAAACTTTACTTTTTTCGCAGTGTTTAAAGCGATTAGATATTGTTGAAATGTGTATTCCAAACATTTGGAAAATCAAAACTACCCCAAATATGTAAAACAGCTAACCTCCCCCTCTTTCAGACCACACCACACCACCGCCAGCGACCCCCGTCCACGCAATTTGTTTGAGTTGTTGTTGCTTTTTGTTTTTCATTTCGAATAATAATGCGTATTTATGGGCAAACAACGAAATTATATTTACTTGCGCTCTACCAATATTTGCATGCAATTAATTCTACGAGAACTCATCCAACATTCACAACGGGAGCAACAACAATAACATAAGCAGCAGCAACAGCAAACAGCTGTAGCGATTCTGTGGAAAAATCAAACCAAACCAAAGCAGAGTATAGTAGTATGAAGAAAGAAAAGCGGCAACCACCACACAACCAGAATTTGCTTTAAAAAAAAGAAGTAAGAACAAGGCGAAGAAATCGAAGTCTCGGCATCAACGGTTTTGTTCTTGCTGTTGTTGTTTGGTGTACAAGTATCTGCTCTGACGATGATGGTGATGATGATGATGATGATGATGGTGATGGTGAAGACGTTGGTTATGGCTATGGTGTTGATAACGATGTGCGCCCAAGTTTGCCAAGTCCCTGCCAAGGCTACAGATGTGGCTGCAACCGAGGCTTTTGTGGTGCCCGCCACCACTTAGCTAATGCCAGAAACATTTTCTTTAAAACTTCGTTTGCATGCTTTGAGTTTTTTAATTAAATTTTCAAGCATAAGACAAATAAAATGTCGAAAGAGCGGTATTGGAAAGTGTTTCTTTTCCTCCCTTCCTGCTTCTCCCCCTAACACACACACACACACACCCACGCACCCACAAACTCGTCTGCACAAAATGAAAATGGAGCCATTAAAGTATGGGCAACTCGTTTCGTTAAATGGGCGGCTGGCTTTTATATAAAATGCAAGGGCAAACGTTTAACAGAACTCTAAATCCTGGCAATTTTATGATATCAAAAATATTTTCAGGCACTTAAATTAATTTATGGCTTTCAACAAAAAGTAACTCACACTCTATGGCCGTTATGTAACACTCCATTTGAGGTTATGCAGAGCCAGCCCCTATTGCCAAATAAATTAATGTTCTAAACACAAAAAATTGTGATTCAATATTTATTGTAATACACACATCCCCTGCTGTTGTTGCTGCTGCTGTTGTTGCTGTTGTTGGTTATCGCATTGGGGCGTTTGCTTTATATTTTTTTATCCGATTTTGGCTGCCCGCGCTTATGTCGTAAAATTTATGACACAGAATGTTTTGGCATAACCAACCACCGAGGCCTAAAGGTAGGCTGCTGGCTCGTTAGCCAAGCATGCTTTGATATGCCAGAGACATAAAAAGAAAAAAATATGAAAATTGGTAGATTTATGTGCAGAAATTTGCATTTTTTTCATCATTCGAAAGGGTGTAGTAGGGTTGTGACAGAAGTTATTGTGTCAAGGTATGTATGAGCATCTAGTTTTGGAAACCTTTTCCAATATTGAATTGCCATTGAGCTTTGCACTTTCTGGCGCCAACAATTTCTTGGCGATCTACCATTTATCAACTGGGGCAGTCGAGAAATAGAGAAATACAAAATAGCACCTTTTCAGACAGCCCAGAAACTATAAACTATATACTTAAAGTCTTAAAGGGGGAAAAAGAAAATATTTCTTCCTAAAAGTTGAGAACAAATTATGACCATAAAATTTTAATTCCAAATGTTAGGGAAAAATAAATGATTGAGGTGGAACGAATATAACTCTGTGTGGACATTGAAAGGTAATTTTTTCGATTTTTACAATGTCCGAAATTTGTCAAAAAATAAATTCAATTTAATTTTGAGTGAAGATTGAAATTTCTGCAGCCGTTACACGTTAAGAATGTTGTAAACAGCTTTTGAGAAAGAGTCTATGACAAAAACACAATTTTATGAGTGGCACAAAATCCCTCTTTGAAGAAAAGAGCGAGAAGACGAACCACAACCATCACGACAATAACCATCAGCTCTCGAAAAAGCTCTCGATTGACACTAGAGGCATTGAAATTTCTAATGAACTACTTTTAAGAGAACTTTTGTGCCTCATAAAAGTCAAATCTATTTTATTTATTTAATTTATTTCCTCGAAAAAGAAGTATAGCTTTCTTTAAACTAGGAAAGCCTTAGAAATTACAAAAATATCTAGAAACCAGCTAGGTTCAGTGGGGGATTTAGAAAGAAGTCAGAGACGTTATTCGACTTCAGAAAAAAGTAATGGAGATGAAGCAATAGCTTCTCGTTTGGTTCCAAAGAAACACTGCACCACTACTCCCGTTTTTCGTGATGATTTCGCCAAAACAAGCTGCCACCGTATTCGTCTAATTTAGCTCCGTGGGGCAAAAAACCTTTTGGCTTTTAAATAAACAACGTTTTGACACGCGATTGAAGAGATTAAAGTCGAATCCAATAAGTTACTGAAGGTCATTCTAGAAACTAATTTCGAGTACTGCTTCGAGAATTAGGAAAACCATTGGCAGGCGATGAAATGGATTTTAATAAATTTTGAATAAATACAGATTTTTAAAGTTATTATAAATAGTGCAGGTAGCATATCGTACGACTACGTTTAATGATGGATGTAAAAGAAACTCATTTAAATTTATTTAGAAATTGTCGAGTGTTTGACTCTAATTTAATAATGAATGAATTTAATTTGTTTGAATTTGTTTCATATTTTAATATTTTATTTAAATATTTCTCAAAAGTTTGTTCTCTAAAGACTTGGTCTTAAAATTTTTGAAATGGATAAAAAAAGCAGTATTAAGAGTTACTCGATGACTGAAATGCAATAAATTTTTTGTGACTTCAGTTAGAAACAGGGCGGAGTCAGTGACACCGTTTTTACATAAGCTCTAAATGTATATTATATAAGAAGTCGCTTATATGCATAATCGTATTTTAGCAAGCACATTGTGCTTTACATTTTAACTCGTATAGTAGATCCCGAAGGACTTTTGTCTGAATGGCATCAACGACGAAAGTGCACGTAAAAGCATACAAACTGTGGCCTCAACCTTATACATAAATTGCTTTAGCACCAAAGGGATTTGTGTCGAAATCGGACAAAAAACAAAAAGCCGAAGACGACGAAATATAGGAAAAAATCAGGCGCGTCGAAGGCAAGACTTTTGTACGGCCAAACTTTTGCTTCAATGCCGAACATTGCTGCCACAGCAAATGCTTTTCCTGCCAGCAATAAGCTGTTGGAAGGCAGGCGCATATGAAGTCCTGCCTATTCCTGTGATTGTGCGATTCTGGTGTGGGTGTGTGGGTGTGTGTATGTGGGGCTTCTCAAAATCAGCTTAGAACTTAAATTGAGGCACTTTCGTTTAGCTTTGCTTTGCTTTGGTTCGCTTTGCATGCTCGAGCGTTTTCCGTGCGCCGCATTTCCTTGAGCAGCAAACAAGCAGCCGTTGGCAGAATTCAATTCCTTTGGGAAATGCTCAAGCTGTAGTTGTATTCGATGGGTGTGGTGAGGGTGGGGGGTGGGCGTTGGCCGCCGGCAAGCATTATGAGGCTGGTGCCAACTTTTCACTTGCTCTATTTACCATAAACGACGTTCTCCCGCGTTTGTTCGTGTGTGTACGTGTGCGAGTGTAAATATGTGAGTGTGTCTGCATGTGTGTGTGTGTGTGTCTGCATGTGTGTGTGGGTATTACAAATAAATCAAGGGATTTTTGGGATTTTGGTTTGCTTTTCTTATATATTTTGTTGTCTGTAATGCACACACAAGCAGACACACATGAACAGGTTTTTCCCATTGGGCATCAGTTCGGAAAATTGTTTAGTCCACCACAGCTATGAGCCGAGCAGTAGACCTAAAGACCAGGCATGCACAGCAACATGTTGTTGTTGTTGCTGTTGCTGTTGTTATAGGTTTAGTTATTTTCTGCGTCTAAGCCCAAATTCAAATATAAAACTTTAGGGCATGCAATTATAGAAGTTGAAACACACTTATTCTACAAGTTTACATACTACATATGTATATACAAATAAACTATTTCAATGGCCCTACATGTATTTAAATTAAATGTTTTATTTG